TTGCTTTCCCTGCCTATTGCCACATCTTTCCCGCCACGAGAGACTGCCTCCCTCTGGAACTGTAAGACAAAATGAGTTCTTTCTCCCTTAAGTTGCTTTGGTCAGGGCTTTCTATCACAGCAGCACAGTTAAACAAAGGTAGTGACTAATTACTCTTCAAAAACAGCACAGAGGGAACCTGGGTCTGTCAGTTTTGTTATTCAGTTATCGGAGGTTTCCATCTGGTCTCCCAAGCCCCGGAGATGTTTATCTCTTTAAGGTAACTTTACGACAAGGTACTTCTTCCCAGATCCATCATGCCCTGCCCTCCAGGTTTGGATTCCTGCAGTCTCGCTGACCGTCTTCAGTGTTGATGCCAGGATCAACTGATATGACACGTAGATGATGTTCTGTAAATGCTTGCTCCCTGATCTCTGTTCCCTTCATGCCATACAAAAGCGGTAACAGCCTTATGGGTCAGAATGTATCCACAAGCCTGAACTGCAAGTTTCAAGGACTAGAGTAAGGTATAAAGAAAACCATGCGAGCGAGCAAGCATGTTTCTGTGTGTATGACAAACAAATTGTTCCTAGACCCACAAGCTGTTAGGTGTACTGCTTGGTGGGAAGTTCTGACCAATACAACCACAAGGCCTCATCCTCACTCCCTGCACCTAAGGGGCTCGAAGGTCCACTCTTCACCCTCACCATCTGCCCCTAGTTTATATTTATAGCATTGGTGTTCTTTATTAATCACACCTAAAGTGTGTGCAGTATAACTTGATGTCCCTCCCAACCCGTCCTTCCTTCCCTTTCAGGCGTTACTTCTTTCTGCCTTCCATGCTCCGAAGCATTCCCAGGTATGCCCAGGGATGTGACAGATGCTTCCAGAAGTAATAGTTGGCCATCTGAGAGGTATCCTCTGGCCAGGTCCAAGGGTGGTGGCTGCAATGTCTCCTAACCGACAATCTTCTGCCTCAGCTTCCCCTGGAGGAAAACTCAGGTCTATGTCTGTCTGAAGCTGCTTCTTTAAGTCCTTAACAACTGTCTGGGGAAACACCTCTTTAATTTCTAACTCTCTCTCCATCAGAGCTCAGAAGTCCTTCCTTGGGTTAGGTAGGGAATTGGCAGCCACTGTCTGATCAAGACTCCATCCTCTCTGAGCTATGTCCTGTTTTGAAGTGGGTCCTCCTTCTACTTTAGCCTCCAACCCCAGAAGTACCCTTCATGGTGGCTTATGCAAATAGATGATCCCAAGAGTCTTTAGGGCTGGGACGATGGCTCAGCAGTCAAGGCACTTGTGCACAAGTATGAGGACTGGAGTGGAACCCCAGAATACATTAAATGCCAGATGGGCATGGCAGTCAGCCTGTGATTCCAGCACTCAGAAGGTGGAAACTGAGCAAGCTGGTTGTAGTGACTAGCTGTATGGATGAGCTCTGGGTTCCATTGAGGAAACCCCCTTCAATGAATAGAGTAGAGAGAGGCTGTGGAAGACTGTTCACCTAAGTTCCTTAGAAAGAGGACAAGAGACTTAGAGTTCAGATTTCACCTTCACTGTGAAGGTGTCCTGCACATTCCCACTGAAGTTTACTTGTTCGTGAGTCATCGAGTCAATATTCATCAAGGACGCAGTGTTCTGGTTGGAACGCTCGTCTCTGACAGCTCATCCCCCAGCAGACTCACCCTCCTCTAGGATCTCCCGGGGGACTTCCCTAGCCATACTTACTAACTCTATTGTTGGCTTTTCCCGTCATAGCCGTATATGTCCGTACCATCTGCAAACGTTTCGCCCATATGCAGGCTTGACTAAAGGCGTTACCAGGACCTGTTCTGAAGATTATCTCCAGCAACAACTGGTTTTTATTCCCGCCCCTCTCCCCCATTGGTAACAGCAATACCCAAGTAGGAAACACAGTCAGGGAGCACAGTGCTCAGAAGTTAGCAAATTAGCATCTCAAGGCCTTGATAAAGTGCACATTATAAGGCAAGCCTGATGAAGCACGCTTGTGATCCCAGCACCTAGGAGACTGGGGTAAGAGAGTTGCTGGTTCAAGGTCAGCCTGGGCTATCCAATGAGAGGGTGATTTTTTTTTAAAAGTATCCTATGACTATCTGGTGATGTATGGGAGCTATGATGTCCTAATTAGCTTTGTCAACTTGACACATATCTGAGAAGGAAACCTCCACTGAGGTATTGGCTAGACCAGATTGACCTGTGGGCATGCCTATAGGGGGTGACCTTAATTGCTAATTCATGTAGGAGGGTTCAGTCCACTGCAGGCAGCACCATTCCCTTGGTAGTTGGTGCTGGGCTGTAAACAGAGCTAGCTAACACACATAAAAATAACACTATACAGACTGAGCAGGTTGTATCTATGTATTTAGAAATATATGTATATACATATATGAATGTAACTGTAATAAATGAAGAAGGCTATAAATTTGAAGGAGAAGGATATAAAAATGATGGATGTGTGGGAGGCTTTGAAGGGAGGAAAGGGAAGAGGGACATACAATTATAAGATAATCTTAAAAAAAGAATATATTTTTTTAAAAAGCTAGTTAAGCATGATCTGGAGTGAATGCAAGCAGAATTCCTCCACGGTCTGCCCAGGTTCCTGCCCTGACTCCTCCAGTGCTGGACAGTATAAGCCGAATAAATACTTTTCTCTTTTAAGTTGCTTTTGGTCCTGATGTTTTATCACAACAGAATGAAACTAGAACACATGGCATGTCTCTTGTTTTATGAGACAGATGACAAAGAGTGAATATATTTTTTTCTTCCTCAAACTGAAACTGTTTTGAATGCTGACTATAGAGAAAAGTCAATAAAGAAAAGATAACTGAGCCAGAAAGATGGCTTAGTCAGTAATGACAAAAGTAAAGGCCCGCGTTCCCAGTGTCCACAGAAAAATCCAACTGTGGTGGCATATGTTATCATTTATAAATACATGGTGGGGGACCAGTCCCATGAGGTACAGTGTTGGGTCCCCGGAGGCCTCGGTGGGTCCCTTTGGTGGGTGGAAGACCATGGCGGGTGAGAGACAGACAGATACACCAGGCAGAGAGAGTTTGGGTATAGAGTTTATTTAGTGGGTTATGGAGGGGGAAAGGGAAGAAGAAGGGGGAAAGGGGAGAAGAGAGAGAGGAAGAACATGGAGGCAGTAGTTATTTCTTCAGAAAAGGGACAGAAAGAGAGAAAGCAGGCTGGAGAGGAGGCGGAAGATCCGCTTGCCTGGGGAGAAGGGAGGGTTGGGAATGAGTGGGGCTTGTCTCTTAAATGGACAGGGTACCTGAGGCTGACTTCTGGCCTCTCTGCTCATGTGGCCCATGTGCACTTATGCATGAACACGTGCACTCAGGCACGGCATGGCACATGCATGTGCATGCACACACAAACTCCTTGCTGCACTTTGATTTCTCCGCTTCCACCACTCCCATCATTCAGTTTCTCCTGTCTCCGCTGGGAACGGCTACACAACACACCTGGATGGATTTGGTTCAAACATCCTAAAACATCCTAGTATATCACTTATTTTTCCTAAATTATTTTTTACCAAGGACCCAGTGAGCACTTTCAGCTTAAAGAAAAAACAGAGATTTAAGAAAAATCCACAATAAATTAGCTTGTCTAGAAGAGGAGTCCCTAGGAATCACCATAGGTGTTTGAGAGTACAAGGTACTTGGGAGCTGTGGTGGTTTGAATGTAATTGGCTCCCATAGGCTCATAGGGAGTGGTGCTATTGGGAGGTGTGGCCTTGTTGGAGGAAGTGTGTCACTGGGAGTGGGCTTTGGGGTTTCAGTAGCCGAGTAAGCCAGACCTAGTGGCACTCTGTCTTCCTGCCGCCTGCTAATCCAGATGTAGAGCTCTCAGCTACCTCTCCAACATCGTATCTAACTCCATACTGCCATGCTTCTTGACATGATGACAATGGACTCGACTCTGAACTGAAAGGCAGCCCCGATTAGATGTTTTCCTTTATAAGAGTTGCCATGGTGCTGGAGAGGGTGGCACACGCCTTTAATCACAGCACTCAGGAGGCAAAGGCTGGTGGGTCTTTGTGAGTTTGAGGCCAGCCTTGTCTACAAAGTGAGTTCCAGGACAGCGAGGGCTACACAGAGAAACCCTATCGCAAAATAAATAAAGAGTTGCTATGGTCATGGTGTCTCTTCACAGCAATAAAACCCTAAGACAAGACTCATAGTTGGCAATGACCAAAACCTAGCTAAAATATGCTCAGAAGGGAGTGTGGGAGGATGTAAGTATCTGTGTTGGTATTTATCCGTTCAATCTAGGAAACAGTGGCATGCACTGCCTGCTGTCGGAGGGCATAAGCTAGAAGTAGGCCGGGGAAGAACAGAGACCTGGGTTCCCCTGGGACTCCACCCATCTCTGCTGCTGCCCATCTGTTAGTTTCAGAGTATTTCAAAGCAGCCCACAGTATTCCGTTTGCCCATTTGATAGACACAGCGGGGTCACTGTCCTCTGTAAAATAATCTAGGGATGAATGCTGTTTTGTATGGCTTGGATCAGGTAGCTTCATCTTATCAGGTGAAAACTGAAACGGTCTTAGGGAAAACGTGTGTTACACTGGAGACCTACATCCTATCAGAAAAATAAAAAGACAGCTAATTGGCTAACAGGGAGGTGATCAGTCATAATGATTTCTGGCCAGAATGACCCAAACTGTACGTGATAACAATAGGGCTAGATGACCTTTAATTCCAGAGTCTAAGATTTGGTTTACTGTGTTTATGCAAGTTATTTAACTTGGCAAAATGCTATATATTTATTATGAGTAATGTGATGTTTTGAATTGCGCGTGGAATGGCTAAATCAATCTAATTAGCATATGCATTATCTTATGCTTATCTATGCTTTCTGTAATAAGAATGCCTAAACTCTACTTTTGGCAGTTTTGAAGAACACAGTACATCACTGTTTGCTGTAGTCACCATGCTATGTAGTAGGCCTTCTGACTTACTGAAACCACATATCCTTTGACCAAGATCTCTTCAGCTTCTCCTCACCAGTCCCTTGTGACCAGCATTCTACTCTTTAATATTCTGAGTCCAAGTTTTGGGATATTTTGTTTTTTTTAATACCACATATAAATGAGGCCATGTGTTACTTTTTTTTTTTCTGTGTCTGGTTTATTTCACTTAACGTAATGTCCTCCAGGTTCATCCACGATTTTGCAAATGACAGCACTTCTGTCTTTTCGAAGAATTACAATACTACTCCACTGTGTGGATCTACACCCAACACTCAAGCTACACCATGCATGCTCTAATTGACTCCGTATTTGTATGTTGTGGACACACTGCAATGAACTGAGAATGCAGATTCTCCTCAACACGTGAGATCAACACACCGATTTCATTTCTTCTCCGCATACACCCAGAAGTGGCATTTGTTAATGCGTCCGTCGTGTTAGCAGTCGGTGACTTTCAGAATCCTGCCCTCCAACAAGAACATGGACTCTCAGACAAAGGGACACCATCCTGGTCCCTTTGGTGTCTAGGCCAAATGAAATCCCTGCTTTCCAATCCTTTTTACTCACAGCCTGTGCGTAGTGTGACGTGTAGAGAAACCGATGAGTTACTGCCCTTGCTAGAAGCACCAGAAGCCAGAGGAAAGAATTTTGAGGTCACTAGTTGAGGCCTCCAGTTTGTCCTTCCAGTGTGACTAGTCACCAGGGCTGTGGTGCCGAGAGAGGAGTGAGGTGGAGGACCGGAACAGCAGCTCGAGTTGCTAGAATGGATGAGAAGTTCAGCGTTTTACTAAGCAGAGTGACCGCCAGGGGATGTGTTTGATCTGCTGTGGTGGTGGGCAGTCAGGAGTCCGCCTCCTGCTTTTCTGGGTAAGACTCTGTAAATTACACCCCTCTGGCATCCAGGGACCCCACTCTCATGGAAGATGGAAGTGTGCCAGGTTGCATAGTGCACCTTTGGCCTCTATAGTCTTATTCTCAGGTAGGCGCTGGATCTCAGAGCCTTTGGGGCAGTAGGATTTTTGCAGAGTCACGTAGTTTCTCTCTTTAAAGAAGCTGAAGGTTCATACAAACATTTTGAAATGATGGTGTTTTCAGGACCACCAGGTGTCACTTTATCTTGCTGAAGTCCTCAGAACTTCTAAGATCTCGGTAATCAACCAGCTAACCTCAACCAGCTAACCGTTGGCAGCTTTTCCTTTTGTCTGAGGTGATACAGGCAAGGGCTGTGCGGGACGAGAGCTGGGAGCTCCTTCACTGGGCCAGCTGACCACTGCCATGTGTAATACTGCTCTCTCGATGCCTGGCTCGGGGTGTCAAGAGAATGAAGAAAAGACAGACACACACACCCAGAAAAGCTGGGATCGGGTGTGCTGTACTTTCTGATGGAGAAACTGCAGCACCGTAGAAGTACGGCAAGATGATTACAGACAGTTGAACAGAGAGACGGTGCTGCTGCATGCCGCTGAAACAGGGAACGGAGTTAGTACACACAGACAAGCAAGGAGTCAGGTTTATTATACACAGCTGAACACGGAAGGAGGCAGCTTTAATCGATCTTAGAAGGGAGTGGTCTCTGTAAGGAATAGTCTTCAGGCTTTAAGCCCCCAGGGAGAGGCAGCCACAGTGGACGGTTTCTTCATATACTATCAGTAGCCACACACAGACCAACAGGAAGGCATTGTCATCCCTCTGAGCCTTACCCAGAGTTGAAAGGTTTTGCCATTCCCATGGGTTTGAGGGTAGTGTCCTTGACACAGCCAGCTCATGACACCACACTCACTCAGGACTTCACACGCTCAAGACGTCCTCAACTTCCCATAGACACCACCATTAGTACCAGGGACTCTTTGTACTGTCTACAAAGCCATGAAAACAGCTCCTTAGCCTTGGTACATTCATCCATTCACATTGATTTACTGGTGTGTATGTGTGTGTGTGTGTGTGTGTGTGTGTGTGTGTATGTGTGTGTGTTAGAGATGGATATGCATCTTTCATTTAGAATGACCTTATTTATTATCTTTTTTCTTATTTTCTTTCATAGTTTTTAGGTAGTGTTTAATCAGTATAGAAATTAAGGATCTTCACTCTGCCATTTCCTTACATCCCATCACTCACTGTACCTTGTCATGTTCTCCACCACTTCCTCCACACATTGCTCTTCTTGCAGTCGCCCGTCCACTTTCACATCATGTAAACATATGTGTACACAGTTAAACATAAAGTCTGTGTGGGAGAAAATATGAAATATTTTGTCTTCCTTCTCCCCAATCCTTGTTTCTCCCTCCAGACTGATTCTTCTTCCATCATAGACCGCCATCTATATTTAAATCTTGCTTGCACATACAAGAACACACAGGCAATCTTTGTCCCTGTGCATGCAGCTTATTTGGCTGGAGCTGATAGTCTCCAGTTCCACCCATTCCTCTGCAAATTAAATTTCTGTTCTTCTTTATGAGTGAAGAAATGGCACGTGTGTGCACCACGTTTCTTTAGCCACCCATCTGGTGAGGAGCATCTAGGTTGCAGATCTCAGCTGTTGCAAACAGTGCCATAAGAAGAGTCGTGTGAATATTTTTGTGTTGAGATTTCTCTGGGTATGTATCCAGGAGTGGTCTAGTTGTTGACTAGAATATAGGGAAAGAAGGCTCGTTCTGGGACTAGAAAGTGGTGCAGCCATAAGGGAAAGGAATATGGAATTTTCTCCAAAAAATGAAAGCAGAAAAACCTTATCATCCTTGGTCAGTGGCTTAGCAGAATAAAACTAGATGGGAAATCTGATCAGAGATATATAGAAAGAGTAGGCGGAGTCAGGGAGATACCATGTAGCTGCTGAAGGAGAAAGATGCCTGAACGCTGGAACCTTACTGGTAGGCCATAGCCTTGTGGTGAATCACAGACTAATAAAAATGGGATAACTTAAGATATAAAAGTTACCCAGGAATGTGTCTAAGCTATTGGCCAAGTAGTGTTGTAATTAATAGAGTTTCTGTGTGATTTCTCGGATCTGAGCAGCCAGGAATGAACGAGCCACCTCTGTTCACACTCCAGTGTTGTTCTCTGTATAGGATTACTTTAGCTGTCATATGGATTTTAGTTTTGATTTGTCTAGTTTTGTGAAGAATGCCATTGGAATTTTCATAGGGATCGTACTGAATCTACAGATACTGTTTAGTGATAGAGACATTTTTAGAATTTTAATTTTGCCAACCAACAAACATGAAGATTTTCCCATCAACCCTTATGTCTTCAATGTTTTAAAGTTTTTGTTGCAGAGGTCTTTTATTTTCTTCATTAATTTTATTCCAAGTTGTGTTTTTAAAGCTACTGACAGTAGTGATTCCCCCACCAGGAAGTTTTTCATTTGTTGACTTCGTATGCTGTTATTTTGCTCCAAGTATTTATAGGGCCCTAGAGTTTTCTTCTGGATTTGTTAAGACCTTTAAAATATTGAATAATGCCATCTGCTAATAAGGATAATTTGTGTCTTCGCTATTTGTGTCTCTTTTAATTTTTTCCTCATGGCTAAGAGTCAAGGACTGAGATTCAAAGTGTGTAAGAGTGGAGAAAATGAACACCTAGTGTAGTTCCTGACTCAGAGGGAATGCCTTCTGTTTTTCTTACTCGGTATAAAGCTATTGTGGATTGCTGTGCAACGCCTTTACTATGCTGCAATGTATTTCTTATATTCCTAGGTTCTCCAGGGTTTTGCTTTGAGGGATGGTGGACTTTGTCAAAGATCCCTTTCTGAGTCTCTTGAGGTGATGTGTGCAGTATCGTACTGTTGAGTTATGTATGTCGACCCATCTTTGAATCCTGTATGAAAACAACTTGTCAGTGTAGGAGTTTCTCACTGTAGTCTTGGATTCAGCCTGTAAATACTATACTTTTTCCTTTATTCATCAAAACTCTTCCCTTTTCTTGCTTCTGTGTCTGGTTTCTGTATCAAGGTGATCCACAGGACAAATCTGTGTTCCTTGGTTTTCTTCCTTCCTTCCTTTCATTTTCCTCATTGTTTCTTTTTTAGAAGTGTGAGAATCACTAGTATTGGCTCCTCTTTCAAACCAATTTCTTTTAAATTTGTCAGAGAATTCCCTAATTCTGGGATTGTCTTGGGTATGACGCTCAATACTATTTCAGTTTTACTGCTTATTGTATATCTATTTATTGATGTATTTTAATTATTTCCTCCCCATTTAGTTTTGGTAGCTCATATATTTCTAGAAATTTACCCATTTGTTGCAGATTTTCCAGTTTATTTGAATGTATTTTCAATTTCTCCTAATTATTTTGTGGATTATTGTTATCTGTTATAATGTTTCCCTTTTTGTCTTTAATTTTATTAATCTCTCCCTCTCTCTCTCAACTTTAAGAGTTTGTCAATCCTGTTCATTTTTCAAATTTTTTGCTAGATTATAAATATATTATTTATTCATTTTTATTTCATTAATTTCATTCTTATTATTTATAAACATCTACTTATCTAGAGTTTGGTTGTTTTCTCCCTCAGACCTTAAGGTAAGTTACTAAATTCTTTGAGAACTCTCCAACCAAACATTTTAACTATGAGCAGTTATAAATGTCCATCTTAGATCCGCCTCAGTGGCATCTGATAGGTTCCAGTAAGTTCTGGTTTTATTTTAATTTTGTTGCAGGAATTAAAAAAAATTCTTTGATGGATATTGTTTTCTTTAAGTGACCCACTGAACATTCAAGAATATATTGTTCAATCTCTAAGTATTTGTATGTTTTCTGTGATTTCTCTCGCTATTGCTTCCTCATTTTATTCCATTGTCATCTTTTCCATGAAATTACTTGAATTCTAATTTAGAAGCATTTCCATATGCTCCTGAGGCCGGGGAGGGGAATCTATCTTACAACTGTTAGATGGCATAGTCTCTAATGTGTGTTGAGTCCCTTTGATTTATGGTGCAGATTAACTCTGAATTTGTTTTGTGGATTTTGTTCTAGATGATTTACCTTTTGGTGAAAGTGAAATGTTGAAGTCACCATCTACTATTGAATCTATGCCTCTCATTATCTCTCAGAACTGGGAACCCCCGTGTTTGGTGCAAACTTATGTGTTTGCACTTGTTATGTTTTCTTTTGTGTTGCTTTCCTTCTTCCTTTGAGACAGGGTCTAGCGCTTCAAACTCACTATTTGCTTGAGGCTGTTCTTGAACCCAAGTCTACTCTCTCTGCCTCCCAAGTGTCTCAGTTACAGATGACTACAGGTATGCATCACCATATCTGTGTCTATTATATTTTCTTCATGGGTTGTTTCCATTATTAAAATGTAGGGGCTGTCTTTATCTCTTCTGGATAATTTTGGGTCCAAGTTGATTTTATCATATCAAGATGCCTATGCCAGCTGGGTTTGAATTGTCCCTTGCTTTAGTAAATTAGTAAATTAGCTTCCATAGTTCCTACCTAATCTGTGTCTTTGCCAGTGTGGTGTTTTACTGGGAGACAATGGATAATCTTATCTTTGTCTTTTAACCCAATCATCTAGTTTTCATCTTTTAACTGAAGAGTTAAGACCATGCAAACTTAAAGTGTTTATTGATAGGGGTATTCTAATTCCTGTAATGAGACAAAATGGTTAAATTATTGTTCTTTCCTTTCTCCCCTGTTTGTCCTGGGGATTCGCTGATTTCCTGTTGCAGATATGATGAGTCATTTCCAGTTTTCTTTCTTTGACATTCCTCTTGGTAATTGTATTCTTCCCTGTGCTTTCTTCATTGAGACTATATCTTCTCGTGTAGTTAGGATTCCTTTAAGTACTTTAGCTTGTGTTTATGTTGAAATATTCTTATCTCTCCATCAGTTTTAAAAGATAACTTTTCTGGGCATAGCAGTCTTGGTTGGAAATTATTATCCTTTGGGGCTTGGAATATATACTTTTATAAACTCATGGCTTGGATGATTTCTGATAATTTTTTTGTATGTGTTTGCTTTTATAAGTGAGTTAGGATTTTCTCTTACAGCTCTCAGTGTTATTGTTCTAACGGCATTCTGACTACAGTGTGTCATGGAGAGGTTCTCCAGTCAGGCCCTATTTGGAGTTTGAATCTGTCTATCCTTGCATTTTCATTTCTTTCCGTAGACTTGGAGAACTTTCTGTGATTTCACTAAATTTTCTCTGCCTTTACTTTTAAAAATATCTCAGCTCCATCTATACCATAGTCTAGGATAGATTTGATCTGCTACTTATAGTCTGGAGTTTTTTGAATTTATAGTCTTGCTAATTTTTGTGTAACTGATATTTGAATACAGTATTCCCCTCGCTTTGCCCCCATCCCTGGTGTGTTTTCTGCTGTTCGATCAAGTCTATTGGTGATACATTTTTTTCCCTTTGATTTCTACTTGATTCATTCTTTTCAATTTCCAAATCTTCTTACTTTCCACCCTCCCTTTCCCATCTCAGTTTTCTGGTTTGCATTTCTTATCCATTTTGCTGACTTTCTCGTCTATGTTTCTAGGTTTATCCCTCAGGTCTTGAATTGAGTTCTTTTGTGTCTTTGACTTTTTATAAGTAAATATATCAATTATGCATCTGTTGTTTTACCCATCTCAGCATCTCTGAGCTCAGAAATTGAGGAGTTGTGATCCAGAGGAGTCATGTTGCCTTTTCTTTTCACACTTCTTGTATCTCTGCATTCTGTTTGAGCATCAGTTGGTTTGGATGTCTCTTCCAGTTTTATTGAAGCATATTAGTGAGTAGTTTCTTTTTGACTGTCCATTCCCAGTATCATTCAAAGGGGGAAAACTACTATAATGGCAACAACGTCAAACTAAAACAAACAAACAAACAAAAAGAAATATACTTACAATCAATTAAAGCCTACTCATACACCGATTACCATAAAACAGCAAATGGCAAAGGTAGAGTAAAGCATGTGGTTAAGTTAAAAATCATTGAGAGTAAACACAGAAGTAATAGTTGAATGTGATAAAGAAGGCAGGAGAAGGGGGAAATAGAGAAGCAGGATAAATAAAGGGAAAAGAAGAGTAGAGAAGAATGTTATGGAGAGGAAGAGAAAAGTGCAAGAACTTAAAGATATTGCCCAATAATGGAAAACTACATAAGAAAAGTTAGAATGCAAATCAAATATAAAAGCTTAAAAAATAGACAAGGTACTATTCAAAATTAGGAAAGGAGTGGGCAAAAGGAAAAAGGGAAATAAAAAGACTTGCACAGTGTGATAGTTATAGTTGATAACCAACTTGAGAGGATCTAGAACATCGTGATGTATAGTTGATAACCAACTTGAGAGGATCTAGAACATTCTGATGATTATTGCTGATGACCAACTTGCAAGGTTCTAGAACATCGTGATGGTTATTGCTGATGGCCAACTTGAGATGTTCTAGAACAATGTGATGGTTATAGTTGAGAGATTCTAGAACATTGTGATGGTTATAGTTGATGACCAACTTGAGAGGTTCTAGAACTGTGTGATGGTTATTGCTGTTGATCAACTTGAGAGGATCTAGAGGCATCTAGAGAGCAAACCTCTTGGTGTGTATGTAAGGGAGTTTCTAGTTGGATTAATTGGCTCAAGGAGACCCACCCTGAGTATGGGCAGCAGTATTCTGTGGACTGGATTCCTGGACTAAATGAAAAGGAGAAAATGAACTAAATCCTAGCCTTCATAGCTCTCTGCTATAAAGATGCCAAGGACCGGCTGCTTCACACACCTGCTGCCGTGACTTCGTTGCTGTGGCAGACTGTAATCTCTGTGAGCTCAAATTCAAATGGCTCTTTCTTCCTTAATTAACTTTTACCATTAATTTTGTCCCACAATAAATAAAGTAACATGTATCAACAAAATGGCAAAACTGTGAAAGTTTCTCTTTTAAAAATAAAGATAAAGTAGAAACACTGCTAAAACTCCAGCCAAAGTAAGAGAGGAAAAAGCAGTAAAGGGGGTGCTGTAGTGGCTTCCTTTGGGGTCCTATAAAGTTTGAGTCTCCTGGGTGGATACAAAAAAGGGATGATCAGTTGAATTTGTATGGTCTTTTCTGTTCTGTGGTTTATACTGGTGCCGAGCCTGCATGTGTGTCAGGCGTCTTCCAGGGCTGTCTTCACGTTAGTGTCTTTCCTTCCTTGTGTGCCAGGAGATTCTCCTAGTCACATTAGCCATGTATTTTTGTCCTGGCCAGGTTCACATCCGAAAGATGCCTCAGCTTGTACACTCTTGTGTGGCTAGTGTTCTAGACAGGATGCCCCCAAATGTACTGGTAGTGGAAAAAGTAAACACAGCCTTGAGTCATGTACTGGTGGGCCTGTCTCTGTCTTTTCTGCTAGAGAGATGGGGCTGTAGCTGTCAGGTAGTCCCCTGGAGTTGCAGAATTCTGTTTCTACCTAAGTGAACCTCATAACAGAGAGGTTGATCTCTCCCTGGGTGTTGACCCACTGTTGGCTTCAGACTTGTGTTTCTCAGAGCTCAAAGTTCTCAAATGAGGAGGCTGGCTCCTCAACACTAAGGAGGGCACTGCATCCCCTTGTGCACGTTACTTCCTGACCCAAGCCTCCTGCCACCTGCGTCTTAGTGTGTGGCCTTCTGCTTTCTGAAGCTGCCTTCTGGATCTGTCTTCATGTTGGGGCTGTATGCTTGACTTCAATCTCTCTGATGTGATCATCCGTGTTTTCAGACCCTCGGGGTAGCTCAGTTTTAAACTTCAAAAGTGTGTCTAACCATAGACCTCTGAGCCAAGGAGCGGAGCACGCAATGGTATTCCGCTCCTGCTGACTTGACCCAGTAGAGGAAGTTATTCAGTTTCGTGGAAAACGGCAACTGGCTCTGAGTTTTCTGAGAACTGTGGGCTCGACTGTGGGTAGGATTGTCAGCCTCTTCTCATTAGAGCTACTGTGCTTGGCTTTAGATGAAATGTCTGCCTCCCCCACTAGCAGGGCCACTGTGCTGGAGCTGTGGAGGTAGGGTGGCGAGGGGCGGGGTGTTGCTGAGTCACATCTCCTTATTTCATCTATATTATTTCAGCAATAATATCTTTAAGTTCTTGCACTTTTATCTTCCTCTCCATAACATTCTTCTCTACTCTTCCTGGTCTCTTAGCAATTTGTTTTAGAATATTTTTAACTGATTTATTTACTTACTTTGTGTGTGTGTGTGTGTGTGTGTGTGTGTGTGTGTGTGTGTGTACAAGAACACACATACATGTGCATGTGTGGAGGTTGGAATGGGTTGTCTCACCAAACTCGGGTCACCAGGTTTGCCCTCAGGCACGTTTATTTTACCAACCAGTAGAGACAGAGTCACGTGGCTTAATCAATTGTTACCCATGGCTAGCTGAATTTGGAAAGTGTACAAAACTAAAAGGTACACAAATTTTACATAAACAGAAGAAAACACATTTCAACCTATAAGAGTCGATTCTCAACCCTTCCGGAATCGCCGTGGAAAGCCCCTCTTCCATTTGTGTGGCTTCCTGTTGTCTTCGACTTGAAAACGCTTTTAGCTCTCAACATTTTCTCCCCTCATATTGTACCTAGCACACAAAGGCACTTCGGATTGTCATTTTACCAAGTGTTAAAAATGCATTTTCTTTCCTTGCAGGGAGCAGGATCCACAAAGCATAACCTTCATGGCTCTTTTCCTTCTTTGGTTTTTTGCAGCTTGAGAAATGGCATGTAACATACCCGACCAAAGACAGCGGACTATGTCAACAACGGGAAACGCTCTGTATGAAGTTCTTGGTCTGCATAAGGGAGCTTCATGTGAAGAAATTAAGAAAAGCTACAGGTATATGGAAGTTCAATTGGGACAGGTCCTGTGCTACCGTTGGCGGTTTCTGGTGACTGGCAAGTGGTACCAAATTAAAGACAGAAGCTTCTTGCCAAGGCCCAGTGTCTGAATTTTGGACTCGTTTCCTGTTGTGTAGCATCAACAGTTCATTATAGATAGGCACAGCACTGATTATTGAAAGAACACTGTGTGATGGCCAGCCTGAGGCAAGCATAGTTAGACTCTAGACGGGGGGAGTATGTCATCACGGAAGGAGAAAGGACATCTAGGGTTAAACCCTGTGACATGATGTCACTACATATGGCAGAGAAAGGCTTGTCACAAATGCTATACTGTCAGTTACACTGTTGAGGCCTTTAGATTTGACATTTTCATGGTTGACTTGTCTCTAACAGTTACTGTAGGGAAAAACTGAAATATCATTTCACTTAAAGTTCTAAGAAATAAAAATACATATGAAGTATAGAATCGCTGATTTTAAGCTATCAAAAATGAAGATAATGTGCACCTATAATTTTACCTTCAAATAATTTTCATGGGGAGTTGTTTCCTTCATCCCTTCCTGTCTATATAAGACAGTAAAAGATGAAACTGAATTTGTCTACAGTTTCCACCCATCTTTCTTCCTCCTAAATCCTGTAATGAAAATGTCTTGGTGTTATTAAATATCCTGCTTTCATGCCTGTTACCTACAGGTATTCCCAACTTCTCTAATTATTTTACAAGCTATTATTTAGGAGGAAGTTCTTTTATTTTCCCTCTATGTTTAACATCCTGTATATAAGACATAATATTTATTTCCTGTTGTTTTCTAATTGAGAAATAAATTTATTCTTTCATAAGACAAAAAAAGAAGCAAAATGTGATCATTTTAATTAATGTTTTCTTGGTTTTACCTTGGACTGGTTTTTATGGAATTTAAACAATTTGAAAAAGACAAATTATTAGTAATTTGTTATGTTTTTGTCATACTTGTCTTGGCTAAAAAGCCTCTTTTGGATATTATAAAAATATCAGCTCTAGCCACAAATAGCATAAAATATCTTGGGGTGACACTAACCAAAGAAGTGAAAGACCTGTACAAAAAGAACTTTAAGTCTTTGAAGAAAAAAATTGTGGAAGATACCAGAAAATTGGAAAGATTGCCCATGTTCTTGGATAGGTAGGATCAACATAGTAAAATGGCAATCCTACTAAAATCAATCTACAGATTCAATGTAATCCTCATCAAAATCCCAGCACAATTTTTCACAGACCTCAAAAGAACAATACTCAACTTCATATCCTGTTCAATAAAGGAACTTCCGGAGGCATCACCATTCCTGACATCGAACTTTATTATGGAGCTATAGTAATGAAAATAGCTTGGCATTGGCATAAAAACAAACAGGCTGACCAATGGAATTGAACTGAAGACCCTGATATTGATCCACACACCTATGAACACCTGATTTTTGACAGACTAAAATTAAACAATGGATTAAAGAAAGCATCTACGCATCTTTAACAAATGGTGCTGGCATAACTGGATGTCAACATGTAAAAGAATGAAAATAGATCCATATCTATCCCCATGCACAAAACTTAAGTACAAATGGATCAAAGACCTCAACATAAATCCAATCACACTGAACCTCACTGAAGAGAAAGTGGGAAGTAGCCTTGAACGCATGAGCACAGGAGACCGCTTCCTAAATATAATCCCAGTAGCACAGACACTGAGAGCAACAATTAATAAACGGAACCTTCTGAAATTGAGAAGCTTCTGTAAGGCAAAGGACACAGTCAATTAGACAAAACGACAGCCTACTGAATGGGAAAAGATCTTGAACTGATCTCCAAAATATATAAAGAACTCAAGAAACTAGACATAAAATTACCAAATAAGCCAATTAAAAAATGGGGTACAAATCTAAACAGAGAATTCTCAACAGAAGAATTGCAAATGGCCAAGAGACACTTAAGGAATTGCTCAACATCCTTAGCCATCAGGGAAATGCAAATCAAAATGACTCTGAGATACCATCTTACACCTGTCAGAATGGCTAAGCTCAAGAACACCAATGATCTCTGTGAATTTGAGGTCAGCCTGGTCTACAGAGCGAATTCCAGGACTGAATCCATAGCTACTGAGAAACCCTGTCTCAAAAAAATCAAACAAAAACAACAACAACAACAACAACAAAAAAAAAAACCTAAAAAAACACCAATGGTTTTATGCTGGAGATGATGTAGAGTAAGTGGAATTTCTGTACTGTTGGTGGGAGTGCAAACTTGTCCAACCTCTTTAGAAATCAGTATGGCAGTTTCTCAGAAAATTGGCAATCAGTCTACCTCAGGACCCAACAATACCAATCTTGGGCATATGCCTAAAGGATGCACACTCATAACACAAGGACATTTGCTCAACTGTGTTCATAGCAACATTATTGGTAACAGCCAGAACCTGGAAACAACCTAAATGCCCCTCAACTGAAGAATGGATAAAGAAAATGTGGTACATTTACACAGTGGAGTACTACTCAGCATTAAAAAACAATGACATCTTAAAATTTGCATGCAAATGGATGGAACTAGAAAAAAACATCCTGAGTGAGGTAACCCAGACCAAGATCTACAAACATGGTATGTGCTCACTCATAAGTGGATATTAGACATAAAGCAACCCCAGAGAAGTTAGGTAACAAGGAGAACCCTGAGAGAATTTTACATGGATCACCCTAGGAAGGGAACACACACAAATGTTATGTCCAAATCTGCAAAGTCCCCACAATAGCCTACAAGGAAACTAAGTCCCGTATGTAAAAGCAAAGAGCCTTTATTTTAATCAAGTTTGCAAACTCAGTCTCTCCATGTCCAACATATTGGAATAACCGGAGAGTCCCGAGCGCAATTAGAATTGGGTTTTTGTAGTAGTAAAGGTGGGGGTGAGGGGTCTCTGAGGTTCAGGACCCCTGATTGGCTGACATTTGTCTAGGATGTCCTGGGGAGGTGCATTGGCAGGTGATTTCATCTACAGCATTTGGAATGTTAGGCATTTCCTTTGATTGGTCTGCTCCTGGGTGGTGGTTGGGTTATCTCAGTTTGTGGTTCTTTCCTGCTACCAGGTATTGCTTCAGGGTAAACTACTGAGACTCAGACCTCTTATTAAATTAATCGAGGGCCAAGTTCTACTCTGGCAGGTGATAATGATTGGAAATAAATAACTTCCTTTGGGTGGCCTGTCCATACTTAGCTTATCATGGCTGGCTTCCACAACAACAACGTCTGAGAAAATTAGGAGAGGGGGTAGAAGGGAAGGTGGAAGGGGAGCAGGAAGGTGGAAGGAGAGGGAGGAGGAGAACATGAGGGAATGGAATGCTTAAGAAGGGGGAAGGACGTTAAGGGGGTGAAAGGTGAGAGATATCTTGATTGAGGGAGTCATTGTGGGCTATGGAGAAACAGTGCTAGGGAAATTCCCAGGAATCCACAAAGAAGACCCCAGCTAAGACTCTAAGCAATAGTGGAGAGGGTGCCTAAACTGGCACTAAAATTCTTAATGAAAAATTTAAAAAATTAAAAATATAACCTCCGGTCTCCTTTTAGCACATTTATGGTTTTGCTCTGACATTAAATTTTTGATCCTTCAGGCCTTATTTTGGTATAAGGAACGAGGCAGCATTCCAGGCTTGGTTTTTACCAAATACTAGCCCACCAATATTTATTGGCCTCTCCAATTTTACCACGAAGGAGGCTTCTTTTGGCCTTGAGCTTCACCACGTGGTGCACTATGGGAGCTGATGGGACCTTGAGAAGCTTATGCAAGTGATAGTCCTCAGATGGCTGTTTGGATCCAGTTTGACGAAGATGGCAGATTAAGATCACTGCAGATCTTCTAAAGCATACTTCTCCTGACGTGCTAGGGACAGGGAAGTCTTTACTGCTTGGTTTGGCACCAGAGCTTCAGGCGTGTGCCGAGCAGTGGCGCAGCCCACAGCTGATGAATGACCTTGTTGGAACGTCACCGAATCTCTGGTTCGCGGGATGCTGGGGTTGGAAATCAGAGCAATTGCATCTTAAGTTTAATAACCACACAAATGAGGAGTTAAGAAGCTACATCAAACTTCCTTTCCATTCTTAAAGCTCAGTTTACAAATGCGACTTTTAATTGCCTTTATTAATTTTGGAAGCTGAGATTTCAGGTCATCTCTTCATTAAGGCATTAATTATGCCGAGCTGCTTGCAAGTTTAGTAATCACAGCATAAAGCCTTTTCATGTAATCAGTGTCTTGCCATTAATTTGGTTTTAATGTCAAACAAATATTATTTTTCTCCTGATTAGGGTACTAGCATGCTGCCCAGAGCGTCTATTTCTATCTAAATTAGACATTTGTATTCTGCAAGCTATTCAAAATGTAGGAGCAGGCTGCAAATCCACTGAGAGTATTATTCTTATATTCAGAGATGTGGGCTGAAGCGGTGACAACACAGGGAAATTAAAGGCCAGTGAAATGTAATAAAATTACCAACGGTTGATCCATATGCTGCTTGACCTCCAGTATAATCTTTGGTTGTCCTCTTGAGAACAAAATAAGCTAGGGAGTTTCTTCTTTCACCTTTATTCTTATTTTTGAATAGATATTAATATATCCATTGAGTTAAAATAAAAGCATACACGTTCCAGGTTATCTCCTCAGGGGAAACAATATTATTAATTCCTTGCACACCTTTCTAAGGAGACATCATGACCATGTGAGCACATAGAGCTTCCAGACTGGGCAAGATGGAGTAGGCTTACCTCTTCCTGCCCTTCCTGATACGCTTGGTGGCGATTCTTGAGACTGATACAAAAGACAGCTAAAGAGAATGCTGACGTCTAGAAAGGGTGAACTGACTGCTGACCTCAGGAACAAAGGAGCATTCAGTGACTCTTCCACTCCTCACCCATCAGAAAACAGCCCAAACAGGGCTGTTTTCTGAGTTCCCACCTCTTCTTCCAGCAGAATAAACCCAGGTGA